CACTTAGAAGGCGCAGGCGAATCGCAGTGAGGGAGCTCCGTAATCCCCCTCCAGGTTATGATTATAAAAGCTTTTCCAATAATTCCGAGGATAATTATTAATTCTCATGTTGATGATGTGATGGATAGGTAAATACCTCACTAAAGACGGAAAATAGACTGTCAGCTCAATTATGCAACATATATGATACACGCAACCGTGTGTTCACCTCACGTATGACCGAATAACTTCAGCAGCTCGTAGTTTGAGTTTGTTGTTGTTTGTTCGGTTCAACTCTTTTCTCCGAGCTTTCATTTGTTTTTCCTTCTGCTACTGGATCGTCTGCTAGAGACTCTGCAGCGCCTCTCGTGGAGACACTCTGAACTACGCCTGAAAATTGATAACTCCCTCCTTCCCGCACTCCCCCCTTGACCTGTGTCTGTCTGCAATTTCGACTTCCGCCAGTAGAGAGCGCCACTGTAACTTTATTGTAGTTAATGGTAGTTAAGTTCTTGTCACTTGAATGACTGGAAGGAGTTTTGAGAAATGATATTAGTTTCCTTTAAATTGGATCTTTCTTTGCTTAACACGGCAAGAGAATAGTATCTAAAATGATGTATTACTATTGTCAATGTAAGGAGTTGGTGGGGAGGTCAATTGCAGTGTTGTTAATATCGAACTTTTGAGAAGAACAGCCAAGGCCCGAAAACTCATCTTAATAATGTTGGGGCGTAAGCAAAGTCTCAAGGGTGAGCAACTACTTGCAGACTATGGCCCCGATGAATGCCTCAACGAAAGTGCTGATATAGAATGGGTCAACAAGGTATGCACTCGTATTGTGTCTATAACTGCTCATAACCTCTGGGACGTAGGTTAGGGAGGAGCCCATGGAAAGAACTTCACCAACACCTCTACTCCTGAACTGACGGTTGTAGTAAAATAATTTAATTTGTTTTACAGATCTGGGTACGGCGGCTGATGAGGGCCTGTGCCCTGCTCAGCCTGATCTCTGTCAGTCTCAATACCCCAAAGACATTCGAGCGCCACCCCCCTCTTCAATTTGTCACATTTGTGACAGATCTTATTGTTTCCTTCCTTTACACAGCTGAAATGGTGGCCAAGATGCACATTCGTGGTATTATGAAGGTAATTAGTTTTTAGTTATTTCTCCTAATCTCATAGGAGTTTCGCTGTTATCGAATTACCATATTCATAAATGTGCATGTTCAATTATTACAATCATATAACATTTTCAGGGGGACAGCCCATATTTGAAAGACCATTGGTGTCAATTTGATGCAAGTATGGTTTTCTTTCTCTGGGTGTCAGTTATTCTTCACACTTTTGAAATGCTGGGTATTGTTCCCCGCTTTAGTTATCTTTCTATTTTAAGAGCACCTAGACCTCTCATAATGATACGCTTTATACGTGTCTTCCTCAAATTTTCCATGCCAAAGTCTAGAATAAACCAAATTTTCAAGTAAGTTACATTTTATATCACTCACATATTATTACATTTTTGTGGATTTATTGTCCCTTTGTTTCTTTTTTTTTATACCAAAAGCTAATTTTTTTGGCTCTTCCTTTTTCAGACGATCAAGCCAGCAGATTTACAATGTCACATTGTTTTTCTTATTCTTCATGTCTCTGTATGGTCTCTTAGGAGTTCAATTTTTCGGTGAACTCAAAAACCATTGTGTACTAAATGATACAGATCCAAGGTAAGTTATTCATATCTCTACAGTCTTACAATTTTATGGAAATATATTGCTTTGCGCATTTTCTTGACTAATGTAATTTGTTCTCTGCAGACACATAACAATAAACAGCTTGGCTATACCTGACACTTTCTGTTCCACTGATCCTGATTCTGGCTATCAGTGCCCAACAGGAATGAAATGCATGAAATTAGAACTTTCACGATACACCATGGGATTCAATGGCTTTGATGAATTTGGTGATCATCTTCCTCTTGACTTCGATTCTACTTTGTGAAATTAAATTTTAAGTCTCTTTACTGAATGTTTTTGTTTTTGTTTTTTTCCCATTTTCAGCTACTAGTATATTCACTGTATATCAAGCTGCATCACAGGAGGGTTGGGTTTTTATTATGTTTCGAGCATGGGATTCTTTACCTAGCTGGCGAGCTGCCTTCTACTTCTCCACCATGATATTTTTCCTGGCTTGGCTGGTTAAGAATGTATTTATTGCTGTCATAACTGAAACTTTCAATGAGATAAGAGTACAATTCCAACAAATGTGGGGTGTGAGGGGTCACATCACAAACAAAACTGCATCTCAGGTAAGTTGTTGAATTTTTGTGATACATATATAGTTGATTACCGGTACTTTCAAATATGTTTCCTTTTTTATTTTCTAAATGTTCTTTTTCCTGTAATCTGTTCCAGATATTAATGGGTGATGATATGGGTTGGAAATTGGTGACACTGGATGATCACAAAAAAGGAAGACTTGCTCCAGAAATGTGTCAGAGTATATTGAGGTCTGCTTGGTTCAGAATGCTTACCATGATTGTTATTTTAAGTAATGGCATCTGTATGGCAACCATGAATTTTAAACATGATGAGCGTCCTAGAGAGAACTTTTATGAACATTATTATTATATTGAGGTATAAACTGGTGATATATCAATCACACTTTTGCTTTCACATCTTATGTTTCCCTCAAATTCAATTTTTTATCTGTCCACAGGTTTGTTTTACAATATTCTTGAACCTGGAATCGTTGTTTAAGATCTGGTGTCTAGGATTTCCATCTTACTTCAAGCAATCTATCCACAAGTTTGAGCTATTATTAGCGATAGGTTCAACACTTCACATCATTCCACAATTGTATTTGTCCGCCTTTGCATATTTCCAGGTATTTATTTGCTCTTTTAGATTGAACTTTAGTCATGTACCTCATTTTCTTAAATGAAATAATTTTTCTTTGGTCCTTTGTTAGGTCTTTAGAATTGTCAGACTAATTACTGCCTCTCCAATGCTAGAGGACTTTGTCTACAAAGTATTTGGTCCAGGAAAAAAGTTGGGCAGTCTTATCATATTTACCATGTGTTTGTTAATTATTTCATCATCAATATCAATGCAGCTTTTCTGCTTTCTCTGTGACTTCACAAAGTTTGAAAGCTTTCCTGAGGTGAAATATTTATTTATCTATAGCCTTCTTTTACGAACAGCTTTCAGCGTTATTATTATTTGATCTTTTTCAATGTTTCAATTTGTGTGTATTTTCTTTCAGGCTTTTATGTCCATGTTCCAAATTCTTACCCAAGAAGCGTGGGTTGAAGTTATGGATGAAACTATGTTACGAACAAGGGAAACACTTGCCCCTCTTGTTGCTGTCTATTTTATTTTGTATCACTTGTTTGTGACACTGGTAAGAATCCTGGAAAGCTTGAAATTTCTGTATTTTGGGGAAGTTTTAGAGGTACTCTGTTTGGAGGTGACCCCCTCTACTATTATTTTAATTAATTTAAATTTTTATTAAAAACTTATAATATGTGTTCAGAGATATTATTTGTGATTAAGCGATAATATAATACCCTATGTGTATGCAGAAAAAATGTAAGAGATAGATGAAACTTTAGTTCATGTGTGAGCCACAGTAAGAGGTTGTTTGATGTCAGACACTGTACTTCTCATTTGTTGTACCCAATAACGATCAGTGAGAGTTAGCACATCATACTCAGAACCTGGAAACTTGACCAACACATCACAGCTATTTATGCGGTGGATGTATGTTATGTATTATATCTAATCCAGTCAATTTGTTCTTTAAAAGTATGACTGGTGTTAGAATAGCAATAATGTTTTGGTCAAGGCACCATTTTCTCAGTACCAACTATTGATGTTCTATGTAGGGTACAACCAATGAGCATGGCAGCGGTGATCGACCAGGCTCTTGTGTCTCATACGTAGTTAATAAAAGTTAGAACCACTTCTTTTTGGAATTTACATTTTTGAATATAATTTTTGCATGTTAAAATACAGTTAAATCACTTCTAATCTATCTTATCTAAATTTAAATAATTTTGAAATAGGACAAGGGGTACCTCTAGAGGTCACACCACTGGTCCATACTCTGTATTTCTTTAATCCATTTACAATTTCATTTCTCTTCTTCTGAATTACAGATTGTGCTCAGCTTGTTCGTTGCTGTTATCCTAGATAATTTAGAGCTTGATGAAGATATTAAAAAGCTGAAACAGCTAAAATTCCGAGAGCAAAGTGCAGAAATTAAAGAAACTCTTCCATTCCGCCTTAGAATTTTTGAGAAGTTTCCGGACAGTCCAAAAATGGCTTGCCTCCACAAATTACCGTCAGACTTTAGTTTACCGAAGGTGCAATCTCAAATAATGTGTTTTGAGTTACCATGATTTTTGTGTATTCATCTATTTAAAGACTACATTAACTTAAAATTTGCAGGTTCGTGAAAGTTTCATGCGTCATTTTGTAACAGAGGTTGAAGATGATGAAATTGAGGGAATGAAACGCGTCAGTGAGGCATTTGACTCTAAAGTGGTTTATCGTAAGCAAAAGCCAGTTCATCTCCTCACTACTACTTTGAAAGTGCGCAGTGTTAGTGTAGATCTACGAAAGGCAGCAATTACCTACATCATCAAGTAAGCAATAAATTTCATAAAATCATGTAATTTTCAACTAATTGTTTCTTTGTAAAATCTAATTCCACTTAATCTCATTTTAGTGACTCCAATAACCAACGACTAATGCTTGGAGACTCAGCTGTCATTGCTGTGCCAGGGAAGGGACCTCTTAATCCACAAGGGACCATCAGCAGTGCAAAACAGCTCAGAATCGACCAAAAAAAGTGAGACAGCAAGTCATTATTTATTTATTTGAGTAATCTAATATTTCTTTCCAACTGGCTACTCTGAAATTTTATCTGCCACTTACTTTGGCACTGTTAGCCTCAATATTATGACAAAGCCCATTACAGTTGAAAAAAAAAAGGAAAAGAAAAGCTTCAAATAATAGAAAGTATAGGATGTATATTATTAAATCAACATCTTATAAGTAATCCAATTCAAACTTAACTATCTCAAACAAAAGAGAGCAAAATTCCCTTACCAGTACCATACTTGTGGTTTTTAAGTCATACATATTTTCTTGGTCAAAATGCCCTTGATAATTAGTACATATAAGAATTAAGGAACCCCATGGATTGGATTTTCTGTGGTTGAGGTAACTATGTAAGGCTTTAAAACTGTCTGATTTTTATTTATCATTTTTGAAGAGCATGAATCACTTGAAGCATACTGCTTTAGAGTTGCAACAAGTACAAAAACATAGTAGAATAATCCACACCTAAAATTAAACATCTTTTAAACAAATTCTGTTTGGTTGACCAAAATACAAGCTTAACATACACTAGATCTACATTGATGTGTGAGTGTGAGACTTAACAAAAGCTTGAGCTAGTATTTTGAGTTTCTAAAATTTAATTTTCATTTTGGAATAATTTTTGAGAATCTAGAAAATTAAATAAACCGTTTCTAGGTCCGTCTCAAATTGACAATGCTGCATGCTTTTGTAACATCTACTAAATGCATGTAATTACTTATGTACCAACCAAAGCTTTAAGACATCCCAAGGTAGTTGCCAATCTTATGAATTAACTTTTTCCTTAAATGTTACAATTACAGCATGCTGTAAATAAATTATATTTATTTTAGGGTTTAATTTATCTAATTATTTGCTCTAACTTGAATATTTTTTTTTGTTTTGGGAATATTGAAATTAGAAATTGATTTGGTGTTAGATTAGAGTGTAGCCCAGAGAAATGGTGTACTGCCCAGCCCTAAATCTATCATTCTCAATTCAAATTATCACAAATTGCATTTCTTGGCCTGATGAACAAACTCTTACCTCTGAAAAATAACTACCATAATCTTGGTATGGAAACCAGTTGTGTGTGTAAACCATAAAACCAAACTTGCCACAATGTAAAATTTTTTCAAAAAGTTTCATGTTTGAAATCTTTTAAAAAAAGGCTTTAAAGTTATCTATCGCCTGTTGTTTTAGCAATCATGTTACTGTTTTACTGGAGTCTCTTCTTTATTTTGTGTGGAGGCATGATTAAACCTAGAGTATTTCAAGCATCTGTGTTGTGATTATACTTAAAACAACTTAGCTTGTGCCCCCAAATGTTTTTATGTAGTTGTTATGACTAAGGTCAGATGTTGAGTAATGTTTGCATTATCAATATCTCTGATCTTATGCACAATTTGAACACACAAAATAAAGGGACCTATATTAAAAGAAAGAGGAGTGATCAGTAACTGCTTGTCGAAATATCAGAGATAGTCTGTGGGCATGTGCACCATTGTGGAATGGCTAGGAGTTGTGAATGATATGCAGCATGCGATCCAGGTCTATTCGCCGCAGCGTTCGCAGTGGATCGATCAAGCTGAAGCAGACCTACGAGCATCTCATGGAAAATGGGGATATCGGTGCCATGAATCGAGTCAGTGCCACACGAGCCAGACCGCACGACCTGGACATCAAGCTTCTTCAAGCTAAGCGACAACAAGCTGAAATGCGAAGGTAACTTTAATTTAGTATCTAACAAACCTCTATATATTTAAAAATACAGGACATATTCTGTATTTACTTATTCTTTTAATTCACAGAACTCAAAGAGAAGATGATTTGAGGGAAAACCATCCATTTTTTGACACACCTCTATTTGCTGTACCAAGAGAAAGTACATTTCGTAGGATCTGTCAACGTGCTGTCTATGCTAGATATGATGCTAGGCTTAAAGATCCTTTGACAGGAAAGGAACGAAAAGTACAATACAAAAGACTTCAGTATGTATTTTGATAATGTAATGTTGGTAGCAGCGTGGAAAAGCAAGGCTAAATTACAACTGTTCATTGTTTGTTTTCAGCAATTTTCTTGGTTTGGTTACTTATTTGGACTGGGTAATGATATGTGTTACAACATTGTCTTGCCTATCAATGATGTTTGAAACTCCTAAGTATCGAATCATGGATTCTCCTGCACTTCAAGTGACTGAATATTGTTTTGTATTTGGAATGAGTGTTGAACTAGCACTAAAAATATTAGCAGACGGTCTCTTTTTCACACCTAAAGCTTATATGAAAGATGTTGCATCTATTCTTGAGATGTTTATCTATGTGGTAAGTCTATATTGCAATACATAGTTTCATATTTTACCACTCATTCAACATTTTTCTTCAAACTTACACTAAATTTGCTATTCAGGTTAGCCTGTCATTCTTGTGCTGGATGCCCCAGAGTGTTCCACCTGCTTCTGGTGCTCAGGCACTCATGATTCTACGATGTGTTCGACCTTTGAGAATATTTATTTTGGTACCTCACATGCGGAAAGTAGTTGATGAATTGTGCAGAGGTTTCAAGGAAATTCTTTTGGTGGGTAACATAGGTCTTTATGAGAATCTAATATCTAAAGTCAGTTTTTTTCTATCTAACCCCATTACCTGTTCTTAGGTATCAACTCTTCTGATTGTATTAATGTTTGTCTTCGCAAGCTATGGTGTTCAAATGTTTGGTGGGCGATTGGCAAGGTGCAATGACCCCACCATTTTTCGTCGTGAGGATTGTGTAGGAGTTTTCATGAGACGTGTTTTTGTTACAAAAATGAGGCTTCATCCAGGAGACAATGAAAGTTACCCATCTATGCTTGTTCCTCGAGTTTGGTAAGTAACTGACTTCAATGCCCATTTCAACTACCCATAGCCCACATGTGTGTGCTTGAATAAATTACCAACTATTTCAGATTTAACCAGTAAAGACATTAAGGAAGCTATTTTGTCCTTTTTCATCCATTTATATATTAATTAACTCTTAAAACCAATGTATAATGTGTACCTCAATTTTTAGGGCAAACCCTCGACGATTCAACTTTGACAATATAGGCGATGCAATGTTGGCACTATTTGAAGTTCTATCTTTCAAGGGTTGGTTGGATGTGCGGGATGTGTTGATCAAACAATTGGGTCCAGTAAGTCCTACACCTCTATTGTAGCAAGCATGTGTGGTCATGTAGCTACAATGGCTGAGTGCACTGGACTGATTGTTCATTTTGATTTTTTTCAAATTGTAGGTCATTATGCTTTTTAGCTTGTGAATGAAATAAGCATGTGCTATTTTTATTTTGGAACCATTATGGATCAACATATATATTTTTCTCTGGGATGGAGAAAAAAATAATTTTTGAGTCAGTATCCATCCTTGTTTTATTTATTTGTATGATGATGTGCTTTTAACTGAGAAGTTTTGTTTGTCTTATGCACTTAATGTTTTCATCGCAAGAGCATAAACTTATAAAGTGTAACAGAAAATCAGTAAATTTTTTGTGTTCTTGTCATGCTAAGCTGGAAGGGCCTTTACATTATAGTTTATAGTACATAGATATTTTGGCGCATATCTCATCCACCCACTTTTATACAGTTTTCTTTGTCAACTCCTTGCATGGTGTGATTCTTTTTTTGTTGACATCTGTATTTTACATATGTACAAGCAGAGACTGCTTTGTTATTATCATCTCATTATCAACAATTAGTAATTTTTTTTTCTTCTTACCAATATGTATTTTTATCATGTTTTCAGTAAAGATTTTTGTTTGGTACTCTACATGCAATGAACCTTTTCAACATAAAGAAACTTAATTTTCAGGTCTATGCCATTTATATTCACATCTATATTTTCCTTGGATGTATGATTGGCCTAACTCTCTTTGTTGGTGTTGTCATTGCCAACTACTCAGAAAATAAGGGTACAGCCCTGCTTACTGTTGACCAGAGGCGCTGGTAAGTAACATTTCTCACACACAAACTACCTTTGCATGACTGAAATTTTTTCTAAATCATTTCCACTTCTTTTCAGGTGTGATTTGAAAAAGAGATTGAAAATTGCCCAGCCTCTTCATCTACCTCCAAGACCTGATGGACGAAAGTTCCGAGCTTTCATATATGATATCACCCAGGCCCTTTCCTTCAAAAGACTAATTGCAATTACAGTCATCATTAATAGTAGCTTGCTTTGTGTTTCGGTTAGTATTTACTTCTTCTTAAAAGAAAATGTTTGTCTTCTTCTTTTATTATTTCTTTGTGAGGAATTGCTTCTTCTGTTCCATAGTGGCGAGAAACAAATCCAGCAACAGACTATTTAGCCACCGTCAGTGCCGGGCTCACTTGCATATTCCTAGTAGAAGTTATTATGAAAAATATTGCATTCACTCCTCGAGGATACTGGCAATCACGCAGAAATCGCTATGATCTCCTGGTTTCTGTTCTAGGAGTCATGTGGATTATGATTTACTTTTCTATGCAGGTCAGTTTTGTTTCCATGCAGATGTGTTTATTTTAAGATGAAAGTATTGAAGTAGATGACCACCACTTTAACATTTTACCCCATCCCTTTCTTCCATTTTTAGAATGACCTGGCTTACACTGTGGGCTACATGGTTGTTATCCTTCGCTTTTTCACCATAACTGGAAAACATGCCACTCTAAAAATGTTAATGCTTACTGTTGGAGTATCAGTTTGCAAATCATTTTTTATCATTTTTGGAATGTTCCTGCTGGTATTTTTCTATGCATTGGCTGGAACAATTCTTTTTGGGACTGTAAAATATGGGGAAGGAATTGGCAGGTTTGTATCCTTGTTTAACTTCATCATTTTCCCAGTGTCATCAGCAGACGATCATCTTTATTTCCATTTTCTTTATTTTTCTGTACAGACGTGCAAATTTTGAGTCACCAGCCACAGGAGTTGCCATGTTATTCCGTATAGTTACTGGAGAGGATTGGAATAAAATCATGCATGATTGCATGGTCAGCCCACCATATTGTACCCCTGCAGATAACTATTGGGAGACGGATTGCGGCAACTTCAAAGCCTCTCTAATTTACTTTTGTTCATTTTATGTAATTATTACCTATATTGTTTTAAATCTACTTGTGGGTAAGTTCTTTTCTTAAAAACAAATATTTTTCAATAAAACTATTATTACAAAGTGTGTTTCTCTAAAAAAAAAAATTTTTCTTTTTTGTTTCCTAAGCTATCATCATGGAGAATTTTTCATTGTTTTATTCAAATGAAGAGGATGCTCTATTGTCATATGCAGATATCCGCAATTTCCAAAATACTTGGAATATTGTTGACATACATCAAAGAGGGGTAATACCAGTGAAAAGGGTAAGTCAAAATGTCAGTCTAAGTGAAATAGCTTTAACAATGACAGTGCAGTTCAGTTGAAACCTCTTAAATTGAGTAGAAAATGGGGTTGAGTGAGTGTGAGAATGAAAATAAAAACTGCAAAATTTGAATTTGAATGTTCTGAAAGAAAAACATTGAAAGTGATCTGTTTCTTCTTAAAATGGGGGTATATTCTGACTGACAAAAAAAGTCCTGGTAAAACCAAGTTATTAGCCAAACACCATGTGAAACCAGGTTAACCAGAACGTGTAGTTCTTTTGAGACTGATTGTAGAAGGTCAAAATCTACACTGATCAAAAATCATAGAAAGTGCTGCTTTGTCTTCTTGTTTGAAGTGTTCTGACCCATATAGAATTTTAAAACCATCAGGTTTTGGAGAAATGCCACAGTTTAGTTTATGTTATCCTTATCCTCTGCTTTTACAAATCTAAAGATTTCAAAAATTTGATGTTTATTATCCAGGTTAAATTTATCCTGAGGCTGCTAAAAGGGCGCTTGGAGGTAGATCCACAAAAAGACCGTCTGCTTTTTAAGCATATGTGTTATGAATTAGAGAGATTACACAATGGAGAGGATGTCACTTTTCATGATGTATTAAAGTAAGTAATTAAATTTCTTGTCTGAGAATTTCTGTATGGATCAGGTGCTTCTTATCTGCCTCCCTTTTCTACAGCATGCTGTCATATCGGTCAGTTGACATTCGGAAGGCTTTGCAGTTAGAAGAACTTTTAGCCAGAGAAGAGTTTGAATATATAATTGAGGAAGAAGTTGCAAAGCAAACAATACGCACATGGCTTGAGGGGTGTTTAAAGAAAATTCGGGCTTCAAATGTAAGTCAAATGCTTACCTGAATTTGGATTACACCGTTAATAAATTAGTTACACCTCACAATCATGTATTTTCTATTTCCAATTAAAGAAGCAGCAAAGCAGCTTGATTGATGGGCTAAGAGCAACGAATGAAGTCCTACCTTTACCTGACCATCATGTAGCTGAAGACAAAAGCAAGGAAAGCAGCCTTGATCGGGATAGTGAAACCGAACACAAGGTAAGATCGACACTTCATCTCTAACTAAATACTTCAGTTATATTTGTTGTTTTGATTCTCTGCATTATTTCTGTCATTTAGGACTTTGAAGTGACACGTCATCGCAGTAAAAAGTCTGTAAATCTGCCACGCTCAGACAGTGTTGGAAGCGGGAGTGGCCGGAAGTACTTGGCACCAACTTTATCTGATCCAGCTGTCCGTCCTGACAAAGATAGTCAACGCAGCAAGAAACGAAATAATAGAACTCAAGGTATCTTGTGTTTTTATTATATAAATTCACTATCACAATTTAGTAAACTCTTAATATTGGATGTTTTTTCCACAAGGATCAACTAAAAACAACAGTTTACCACATGTCACTGAGAGTGCAGAACCACTTAAATGGCAGAGAGATACGACAACTCTCCCTAAAGTTTCTTCAATGACAACAGAGGTGCATGATTGGTGGCACGAACAACTTACTTACAGTAATCATTCAAGTGAAGATGAACTTTAAAATATTAGGAAGGTAAGAGTAGCCACATTCCTACAAGAATTAAGATCTCTGTCTGTTTATTGGTATTCATATTTCATACTAAAGACCAAAAAATTGTGCTTAACTTGTCTTCTGCCTAAGACATTTTAAATTTATGGTTGTATGCTGTTTGATGTATTTGAAACAAAACATCAGAACAATCTTGGATACAAGTGAAGAAAACTGATGAAATTATCTACTGGAGAAGATACTTCAAAAATTCAGGAGAGAAAGAAGATGGAAAAGTAGGAAAATAATGTACTGAATGAAAAAACAAAATCCAATTCTGTTCTTAAGCTGCCAAAATATTACGGTTGGAAGGGAACATTTACGTATATCATAATTACTATCTTGTTCAAACTTTTTCTTTCCTGGATTATGAAGTTCTGGTGAAATGATTTTTGAAATATCTCAGCAAGTAATGTTATTTTGATTTGTTTTTTCATTTTGTAAAGACGAATAGACCTCTTACTTGGTTTGTAGGTTTGTAATTTATCTATCATCAATTGTAGCTCACATGACAGGTAACTTTTGTGTACTTACCTGTTCAGAGTGGCTTAGATCAAATTTTAAAAACCAACTAGCCATTCATCCCAATGTGTGTTCAGAGTTACCAGAGTTACTGAGAAGCTCCACATTTAATGTGATTCCGTTTTCTATATTTTATAAAATTTTACACAAATTTGTTCCTGTGCCATGATCTAATTTTCTGCCCCTTCTGAAGGGCTGGGTTGAACAATAAGGGGTTTCATTTTGTCCATATTTTAAGGACTATTTTCAGTTCTGTGTGTTTGTGTGAGTGTTTGTGTAGAAATGTCAAAATAACAGGGGCAGGTACTCCTGAGTGCTCATTACGGAGGGCTGAGGCAGAATCCTGTCAGAAAATGGTTTCTCCTAGTATTTATGTAGATTAGTGGAAATTGACTGAATTTTATTAATTTTTAGGTTGTATGTTTCTTAGTAATTTGATGAAGGGACAGGTTCAGGCTATCATGCCTAATGTTTGTAAATTGTGTGCATTGTCTGTTTGGTGGAAAAATTCTCATGCTGTCCTGTCCTGAAGTACCTTGGCAAACCATGCTATGGTCTTGGTGAGATTCTTTCCAACCTCCAGATTTGCAATGGTTTGTCAGGTTTGCAAAAGTCTTAAAAAAATTTGATGGTACTAATTGATTACTTCTATGGTCTCTGAATGAAATTTGTTAATTAAATGGGAATGTTTAATGTTGTTTGGTCTATGATTAGACATTAGAATCTATCAGTTACAAGTCTTGTGTTGTGTCGGCGTCGGCAAGTGTAGTTTATGCACTAAACCATGTGAAATCAAAATTTTTCATGTTGTTGCTATAGTATTGTTTGATTGCGAGTTTGTTTCATGACATGCATTGATTTTGAATGCTTATGAAAGTCTTTGTTATAGGTTTCTGTTAAATGGAATGATGTATTTAGATATCTTACTGTTGTTAAAGGTGTTGATTTGTATTTTTAATGCCGATTCTATGACTCTGTTGACAGTAAAATAAATTGAAGAGCTAGCGTACTGATTTCTTTTGTGTTATTAATGTTCCTAAATCAGGAATTATAATATTTTCTTGAATAATGGAAGGTTTATTTTGACACCAGGAATTACCATAAGTTTAAATTTGAGCATTTCACTAGAGTATACACAGTACCTACCAAAATAGAACTTATATCTAAGAGGGGAACATCTGCATAATAGATAGATAGATTGCAGCCAACAATACACTACTTTAATTTCCAGTGAGATACACTACAGCAGATTGAATCGTGTCCTATGCGAGGAGGTCTTCTGCCATTCTGACGGACTGCTTTGCTTACCTATCTATCTAGCACCTAGCACTCAAAAATGTTTACAGGAAACTTTTCCCCAGTGATTTAAAATATAAACCTGAGGACATCTATGAAATGCCAATAGCTGGAATCCCATGATATCATCAATCAAATCATACAACAATAATAACTTATGATAATATACACTAAATATCCTCTTTGCCTTGTCCATTAAATGGATCGAGCAAGGAGAAACTGTTGTCAACATCAGGTACCCAAAGCGTTTTACAAAAGCACATACTATTCCGAGCACGGAACAATTGTTCAGGTAATCTTCTTAAGTAGTTTATAATAGAGTAGCCTTTAGGTTTCATCAGTGTGACGGACTAGAAAATACAAGCGTTTAAAACTTGGTGTAAAATTTGAGTCACCATACAGAATCCATAAAATTATGTCTCTATGATTTCTTGCTTGCACCAAAAAGACCAAATAATCAACTTACTTCTATAAAATTCATGGGACAAACAGGAATGCGTACAACATGGAATGATATCACTCTTCACAGTCTGAATGCAGGGATAGGGCAGAGAAATCCTATTGATTAAATCAAAATTCTTGAATAGACCTGTCGGGTTTCCATCCCAGATGCCCTACTCCTTGCTCAAGTTTCCGCCTAATTTGCCAGTCGCACCTTTCTGAGCGCGACGAGCTTCATTAGGTCTCTCTCTTTCTCTTCATTGCAGACGTTTGCCTTTCACAGCCATTTGATAGATGTCCACACCGGTAAGGGTCCGTGAGGTGGAGGACATGAACACGAACGGATCTCCCCCCCAAGTCAGGCCTTCTCGGGGCTCACGATGCTGGGCGGCACGGCGTGCAGAGGGTGTGGCAGGAGAGTGGCGGCCTCGGGAACGTCGGTAGCACCGACCACCCCGGGCTTGCCGCCGGCCAGCGGTGACCCTCCGCGGGGGGAGCCCTGCTTGCTCTCGGGCACCCGCGGCATGGCGGACAAGAGCACCTTCTGCAACACGGCCAAGACAATGTGCGCAATGTTATCGTGGCGCGGAATGTGCAGCTGAAGCGCGAGCGAACGCCCGGCGAGGTGTCGACGGTGCACTTTGTTGCTCACGACGAGCAGCTGCGCCCCGGCCCGCCCCGGCCCGCCCCGGCCCGCCCGGCTCGACCCGACCGACCGGGCCACCGCGGGGGAGCGCGCCCAGCCGCGCTTATGAAGTAGGATTATGGCATGGATTGAATGGCAGGAAGGGCCAATGGGACTGTACCTTTTTCAGCGTGTCCCCCTCGGCCTTGTATATCGCTATGGCAGCCATGACGGGGATGGCGGCCAGCGACAGCGACGCGATGCCCCAGCCCAGGGCCTCGGCCCACCAGGGGTACAAGTACTTGCCGTTGTTGAACGAGGGCGGGCTGTAGTCGATCAGGAAGAACACCCATACCGCCTGCACAACGCATTGAACACGACGGACGTCAGGAAACGCAGAGAAGAAATGACTCGATCGTAACTTTGTTACCCTATGCTGGAACTCACAAGAAGCGTCGCGGGTGAGATGACCCACCAGCAGGCGCGTATGTACGGGCCGGGCATGAGCCCCGTCATGTCGCGGATGTTCCTGGCCAGGCGACCCGCGCCGTACAGCCACGTCACGCCCACCACCTCGAAGAAGGCCAGGTACATGATACTGATGGAGGCCGTGTAGTGGTCCACCAGCTGGAAGAAGTAGATACCACCCTGCGAACACGGGGGAGTGCACGGCAAGTCAGAACGGGTCGTCAGTCGTCACGCTGGGTAGACAACCCCGCCGAGCAGTGCAGCGCGGCGGGCGAGTATTGAGCATGAGCATACCTCCGTGACGTAGGGCAGGCCGAGCAGGAAGGACACGAAGCAGATGAGCAGCACCAGGACCTCGTGGCTGTTGAGGTTACGCTTGATCCACCCGGAGAAGCCGTCCTGCAGCGACGTGGCGACCACCTCCACCATGGCGAACTGAGTGTTGAGCCCGAGGCACAGCATCATGAAGAAGAAGCAGACGGACCAGAACTGCGCCGCCGGCATCTTGGCCATGGTCTGAGGGTACAGGACGAACACCAGCCCGGGGCCTGGGGCAAGGGTAGTGTAATTTGGAGTTAATGCTACATCTTTTAGACGCCCGAGTCCGTCCGTCCGGGACTAGCGCTCACCGTCGATCAGCACGTCCTTCACGCTGGTATTGAGCTCGTGGGCGATGTTGCCGATGGTGGCGAAGGCGAACAGCCCCACGAGCATGGACGACAGCACAGAGATGGCGGATACGGCCAGCGTGTCGACCAGGATCGGGTTGTCATAGCGGTTGTAGCTGCTGAGCGAGATGACGGAGCCCAGCGCCACCCCCAGCGAGTTGAAGTTCTGCGCTAGTGCGTTCACCCACACCTGCGGAGCACACGTGGACAGGTCAGCTGGTCAGTTCGCCGGTGGAGACCGCGTGCGTATGAGAGATGAAGATGAAGCCGGGGAGTAAATGAGAGCTCACATTCGCGTCTCCGAGCAGTTCCCAGTCCGGCTTGAAGAAGTAGCGCAGCCCCATGTCGGCGCCCTCGAGCGTGAGCGCGCGGCCCAGGAACACGAGCACGAGGACGAAGGGCAGCGTGGCCGTGAGGTAGAGCATGCGGCCCGAGGAGCGCACCGACTTCCACACGGCGAAGTACACGAGCACCCAGGCCACGAGCAGGCAGGCCACCAGCTCCCAGCGCAGCGACCGGGGGTCGTCCAGGCCCGAGGACATGTGCAGCACCTTGTTCCTGCACAGCGGACACGCAGCAGAGGGTTTGGTCAGGAAAGTGTCGCCCTGGGAGGAACGTCAGGCCTCAAGGTGCAAAGAGAAAAATCTTCTTGGCGCCACCAGGACTTCAAAGTGAAGTGAAGCAAGAGGGGACGTGACAGCATGGTTACAAAGGGAACAAGCGATCATCCAGAAAGTACGTCCGTCATTCGCCGCGACGAACCTGCCAAGTTCAGCCTCCGTGAGCTCTCATAGCGCCTGATAGGTAGGCAACATCTTGCCTGCAGTGCACGCGTGTACTGCGGGGTGGCCTACCCCGAGTCTTGCAGGCGCTGAGCTCCCACAACTTGCCGAATAAAATCTGTGAAAAAGCGGACGTACTTTCCGGACGATCCCCCAGTCGAACTACTGCCGAAATTATGTTTGAGGCGGAAGACGGGACAGGAAGGGGGAGAGGAC